CCACTTTTATTAAACAAAATCAAGGTTCAACAAAAAAACAGTTGGCCACGCAGGGAGTTTTCATCAAAAAGAGGCACAGTAAAAATAATACTGAGCCACATGGCTCTTCTCTACTGCTTAGGCCCAAAACCTTGGCTTTTGATTGGTCCCTCAGACTGTCTCGCATAGAACCTCTGTGATCCTATGCCCCTTTCTGAGCTCACCCAGCTCCCCCTCGGTTCTCCAGGGTCTCCCAGTTTTTCTTTATTTGCAGCACCCTGCTGCTTGGGCCCAGTCATAGAACAGAGAACAGATCACTCCTAACTAACAAAGGAGCTTCCCCCCCCCCCCGTTAATTAGGAGCAGCATCTCCTCCATTTTTTTTTGTAGAAGAGTGGTACTTGCACCACTCTTTTTTAATGCCACTCATTGTATGTAAGCATATTGTATTGAGCATTTTATGTCACAGACAGCAGTGATGTGCAAAATTCAAGGGGTCACTGCACACAGAAGTTTTTTTACCTTCATGTATAGAATGCATGAAGGTAAAAAAACCTTGAGCCTTTAGAACGAGTTTAAAGGCGAATGACTGACAGCAGCTTAAATATTGATGGTTTGAGGAAGAAGCCGCAGGGCTTTGAAATTCATAGCAATGCCACTCTGCTTCCTGCTCCGCCCACGATTACATCACTTCTGTGCAGTGCCCCTGTGTGTTCATCCTACAGCAGCATCCTGACCATCCACCTTACGAGCCTACGGACAGAAGTGATCTATATCATGGAGCCATGCTTTGTTCTTACAGCTAAAAGTAAGTTACCAATTGCCTTTTAATAAACTGCTCTTGCTACTGCACTTAGACTGGCACCCTCTTCTGTTCCATTCTATAACAGGGCTTCACCCCCAGCCTTTTGTACTCAGAGAAACAGAGGACCAAAAGTAGCCACCTAACTCCAAATAAATCTGAAAAAAGTTATTTTTTTTAAGCAATTTTGAGAATAAAACTTTCATTGCATTGTAAAGAGTGGTTCTTGCTTGGCAATGTCTGAGTTTACAGCTGCTTTGAACTGTAAGTTTTTCCAAAAGTTTTTTTTCTAGCTTTGAATCGAGCAGAGAAGAGTTAGAACCCCCGTTCCAGTAACGTTAAGGCCATGAAAAATCTAGGACAGTGGCCCCATGCAAGGCCGTCTTTATAATTGATTGGACCCTAGGCAAAAAATTTCTTTGGGCCTCCCCATAAATTCCCAATCACACAAGACCCTCTACCCAATACTATGCTCAACATTACACAGGAACCGTCCGCCATACTGCCCCCATTATTACGCAGGTCCCCCTTCCCCCAAATTGCCCCCATTATTACACAGGTCTCCCCTCTCCCATACTACCACCATCATTACACAGGTCCCCCCTCCGCCATACTGCCCCCATTATTACACAGGTCCCCCCTCCCCCATACTACCACCATCATTACACAGTACCCTAGGGGTGGAGAGGCAGGGAAGGGAGTTATTGTTTAGGAAAACATATGGACCCTAACTAGAAAAGCTAATGGGGCTTTTTTATAGGCACCATACCAAAATGAAAATATAATCAAAAATGTAAAAAATACAACTTTATTGAACAAAATTAAAATCACAGTTGTGGTAATGATATTTGAGCAGGCACATAGCTTATCATAAAAAGCATGTATAGCTTGTAACAAACAGGCTTATTACGTAACATTACAAGGCATATCCTTGGATAGCATAAGAACCATAGTTGACATAATTGCTCCAAAATTGTGCTTCAATCATTTGCCAACGCGTTTCGCAGGACAATAGCCCACTTCCTCAGGGAGATAAAACATATGATTCTAAAATTATATAAACAAAGCCAAAAATAAGCATACAACATACTAAAGAAGCTTAACGTCTATAACGACTAAATATATTACATTTAGCTGGTGATGGCATCAAAAAGTTTATAGAAAGCCAACAGGAACCATGATCATTGGATCCAAGAGGGGAGGGTCCCTCCATCAAAGATGCAAAGGTGAGCCAAGTGGACAAAACCACATATCCATATTTAAAGCTGAAAAAGTCAAATCATCCAAATGTTTATTGTGTCACAAAAGATACAAGCTATGCCCCTGCTCCGCAAAATGGTTATACACACCCAGATTAATAATTTGGGACAACAGAAAAATATTCAATATTTAAAGAAAAATGTAGGCTGGGTAAATCAAATTGGTCATTCCCAAAGCTAATATGCTCCAAAGCATCATACATTTAATTCCAAACTTCCAAACAAGAGAAATTATATATATGTGTATTGATGTCAATAGCATACATACCATGACCAAAAGTAATCCCTAGCCAAAGAGTTCTAATTTAGGAAAATATGTTGGATAAAAGTAAAGGTGCTCTCCAGAGGCATAGCCATTAACTCACTGCCTCTACTAACAGCCTCATGCAGCAGACAAGGAGCGGCAAATGCCGGCATCCTGACCGTAGGGTGCATCACGGCCGATGTCACAACGCCTGCAGTTTGGCAGTTCACATAGTGACGTGCTTCATGCAATTACCCATTGGCAACATATGTTTTTTGCCCTGGGAAATGTACTGGCAGTATACACATCCGCCACAGATGAACTGTGTAGAGGCATGGTTCCGTCCTTCCTGTCCTAACAAAATGGTATGATCTTCCTGTATAAAGATCTCCACATCCAAAAATGGAATACGTTCAGAATCACACGTCATCTTGAAGGACAGATTGAATTAATTTGTCCTTGGATATGTAATGAAAGCATCCAGAAGTTCCTTAGTGCCGTCCCAAAGGATGAGTATGTCATCAATGCACCTATGCCAAGATAAAACATGGCACAAGTTGATAGAGACTCATCCCCAAATATTTGATGTTCCCAGCCCCCCAGGTACAGATTGGCATAGGATGGGGCACAACATGTCCCCATCACTACGCCCTGTACCTAAAGGAAGCGGGAACCATCAAAATTAAAATAGTTGTTCCTAAGTATGTATTCAAGATCTCAAGAACAAACATGTTGAATTCAGTCTGCTCACTACTTCTTTCCTGCAAGAACATATTGACCACATTTAGGCCCTTACTAAGCGGTATACTACTATACAGGGCTTCCACATCTAGTGCCACCAATAGGGTATTGACAGGGACTTGCATATCTTCAATTATTTGCAGCAGATGAATGGTATCTTTGGTATAAGATGGTAAACAAGTGACATGCAGTCTTAGATGCATGTCCATCATTGCATTTCTGTAAGCCCACCACACACTGATAAAATAGGTCTACCTGGGGGTTTTGTTAGGTTTTTATGCACCTTAGGAAGGGCATAGAAAGTGGGGAGACGTGGCCTCTCAATATTTAACCACTTGGCAAATGTGCTATAGCTGAATGACATCTACAGCGTGGTTGTCCAGTTCTGGGAGGGTGTGATATGACATCCTCCCAGAACGCACCCTCCTGCGTGCCCTCAGCAGCGCACACCCGGCGATCTCTGTGATGTGTCCTATGGACACAGCTGATCACGTGATGTCGTAAAAGGCCAATCACAGAGGCCTTTTACCACATGGTCAGCTGTGTCCAATAACACAGCAAATTATCGAGTAAATGCAGTTGCCGGTTATCGGCTACAGGAAAGTCCTGCCGTGAACCGGCAATTGTCAGAAAACAGATCTGCACTGATCATCAGGGCACTGATGATCAGTGCCCAGCAGTGCCACCCACCTGTACCCTGTGTTATGTATTGCTATTTGATGTATTGTTATTTTTACTTTATTATTATGTACCATGATCATTTTATACTTTTGTTGTATGTAGTTTATATATGTATCTTTTACTTTGGATCCAAGCGGTTGGTGTTCTTTGGCTGCTGTGCTTTTTGGCCCCAGAGGTGGATGGTGTTGTTGGGCACTCTATTTTTCTTCCTTGATTGACCTTTTCAATATGGGCGCAGTAGCGTGACATCGAGCGTCATGACGTCAGACACCATGATGTCGGCTGGGATGACGTCGGACGTTGTGACGTCACGCATGTATGCTGATGTTGCGCATGCACCCTACAGTTGCTACGCCATCATTTGGAGCTCCTTGTCTGCTATATAAGGCTATTAGTAGAGGCGGTGAGTTAATGGCTATGCCTCTGGAGAGCACCTTTACTTTTATCAATATGCAACATATTTACCTAGATTGGAACTCTTTGGCTGTGGATTACTTTTGGTCATAGTGTGTATACTATTGTCATCTATATACATATATATAATTTCTCTTGTTGGGAAGTTGTAATTAAATGTACAGTGCTTTGGAGCAAATTAGCTTTGGAAATGACCAATTTTATATATATATATATATATATATATATATATATATATATAATATTTTTCTTTTGTCCCTAATTATTAGTCTGGGTGTGTATAACCAGTTTGGGGAGTAGGGCTGTAGCTTGTATGCTAATGTTGTATGTTGTATGCTTATTTTTGGCCTTGTTTATATAATTTTAGAATTGTATGTTATATCTCCCTGCAGAAGCGGGCTATTGTCCTGCGAAATGTGTTGGCAAATGATTGAAGCACGATTTTGGAGCAATTATGTCAACTATGGTTCTTATGCTATCCAAGGATATGCCTTGTAATGTTACGTAATAAGCCTGTTTGTTACAAGCTATACATGCTTTTTTTGATGAGCTATGTGGCTGCTGTGCTTTTTGGACCCAGAGGTGGATGGTGTTGTTGGGCGCTCTATTTTTCTTCCTTGATTGACCTTTTCAATATGGGCGCAGTAGCGTGACATCGAGCGTCATGACTAGAGATGAGCGAATTATTAAAAAATTTGATTCGGCTGATTCGGCGAATTCGCGGAATAAATTCGATTTGAGTCGAATATATTCGCTGCGAATTTAACTTATAAAAAGGGTGTTTCTAGGCTTCAGAGAGCCTTTATATTAGTGCAGAACACTATACCTTTAATTTAAATGCCCTTGGAGTCTGCTGGGGAAGAGAAATAATACTGTCAGTCAGTATGACATGCAGATGAGTGCCGTCGATCTTAGAATCACCGCACACTTCACTCATTTGGGCAGTCACGGGGCCAAAACCAGAGTGTGGAGCCACAGTGTGGCGGTGGAGGCAGCAGCAATGGGAGGCCATACAACACCCTATGAAAAAATGGAACCCACCAGCAGTGTGAGGAGACCTGAAAGTGGCACATGGCAGAGTGTGGCGATGGAGACAGCAGCAATGGGAGGCCGTACAGGGACCCATGACACACTCTGGACCTGGCAGCAGCATGAGGAGGCGCTATAGGGGCCCATGGCAGATTAGGGGCCTGGCAGCAGCTATGGGAGGCCCGTAATCTGCCAGCACCCTATGTCAAAAAATGGAACACACCAGCAGTGTGTGAGGAGACCTGAAAGTGGCACATGGCAGAGTGTGGCGATGGAGACAGCAGCAATGGGAGGCCGTACAGGGACCCATGACACACTCTGGACCTGGCAGCAGCATGAGGAGGCGGTACAGGGGCCCATGACAGATTACGGGCCTGGCAGCAGCATGAGGAGTCGGTACGGGGGCCCATGGCAGATTACGGGCCTGGCAGCAGCAATGGGAGGCCCGTAATCTGCCAGCACCCTATGACAAAATGGAACCCACCAGCAGTGTGAGGAGACCTGAAAGTGGCACATGGCAAAGTGTGGCGATGGAGACAGCAGCAATGGGAGGCCGTACAGGGACCCATGACACACTCTGGACCTGGCAGCAGCATGAGGAGGCGGTACAGGGGCCCATGACAGATTACGGGCCTGGCAGCAGCAATGGGAGGCCCGTAATCTGCCAGCACCCTATGACAAAATGGAACCCACCAGCAGTGTGAGGAGACCTGAAAGTGGCACATGGCAGAGTGTGGCGATGGAGACAGCAGCAATGGGAGGCCGTACAGGGACCCATGACACACTCTGGACCTGGCAGCAGCATGAGGAGGCGGTACAGGGGCCCATGACAGATTACGGGCCTGGCAGCAGCATGAGGAGTCGGTACGGGGGCCCATGGCAGATTACGGGCCTGGCAGCAGCAATGGGAGGCCCGTAATCTGCCAGCACCCTATGACAAAATGGAACCCACCAGCAGTGTGAGGAGACCTGAAAGTGGCACATGGCAGAGTGTGGCGATGGAGACAGCAGCAATGGGAGGCCGTACAGGGACCCATGACACACTCTGGACCTGGCAGCAGCAAGAGGAGGCGGTACAGGGGCCCATGGCAGAGTGGCGAAGCGTAAGCAGCTTAAATTGAAGGCCATACAGAGGCCTATGTTAAAAATAATAACATGTTTGGGGCATGATTCATGGCGGATTTAGTCAGTTGTGTCAGGAACTGGTGGTTTGAAATCCAGACTAATCCACGCCTGATTCATTTTCACAAACGTGAGTCTCTCCACACTTTGGGTGGACAGTCGTGTCCTCCGCGGAGTTACAATACCTCCTGCCGCACTAAACACGTGCTCCGATGCCATGCTACTGGCCGGGCATGACAGCCTTTCAAGGGCAAATTCAGCTAGTTGGTGCCAAAGGTCAAGTTTCGTTGCCCAGTAGTCAAGGGGATTGTCTACCTCGGTTGGCAGGGTGCTGTCCAAGTAGGCCCAAGCCTGTTGTTTGAGGTCCTGCTCCAGGTCCACCTGATGCTGCTGCTGCTGCGGCTGGTTAGTAGTTTCCTCACTGCGCTGGTGAAGAAAGCTACTCATCATCGACTGCAGACTGAGGCAGCCGCTGCTGGTGGAGCTGCCACTGCTCCTACCACCCCACCCCTCCCCTGCTGCCATGGCAGCGGAACGCGAGCGCACAGGGCCCACAGTGTCTGAGGATGGACGTTGGCGCAGAAAGGCAGAGACCAACTGACTACATAGGTGGTTTTTATAGTACGTTATTTTGGCCTCCCTCTCAGCAGGTGTGAAAAAGGCCACCATTTTTGAACGGTAGCGAGGGTCCAACAAGGTGGACAGCCAAAAGTCATCCCTCTGTCTGATGGTTATTATTCGGCTGTCGCTACGCAAGCAACCGAGCATGCTATGGGCCATTTGTGCCAAGGAATGCGAGGGACTCCCTGCCTCTATCTCCACAGCATACTGCCACGGTGCATCTGGGTCCTCTGTCTCCTCCTCTACCAGATGCTCCTGCTCCTCCACTCCTGTCCGCTGAGTGGAAAAACCACCCATTTCACTCAATAATTCCTGAGCACCAATGTCCTCCTCTACCTCCTCCTCTTCTTCCTGTCCTGCCCCCACAGGGGTCATGTGGCGTTGAGATCTGTGCGCCACGTCTACCGCACCCTGACCAGCCATTGTTAACAGAATTTGTTCCAGGACGTGCAACAGAGGAATGACGTCGTTCATCCCATAGTCCTGCCGACTCACAAATAGCGTGGCCTCCTCAAAGGGCCTGAGCAAGCGGCAGGTGTCACGCAAGAGCTGCCAATGGCTGACATCTAAGTTACACAGGGGAGTACCTTTATCTGCTTGTAACATCAGGAAATCGGTGATGGCCTTTCGCTGTTCGTAAAGGCGGTCTAACATATGTAGGGTTGAATTCCACCTTGTTGCAACGTCACAGCATGAGGAGTCGGTACGGGGGCCCATGGCAGATTACGGGCCTGGCAGCAGCAATGGGAGGCCCGTAATCTGCCAGCACCCTATGACAAAATGGAACCCACCAGCAGTGTGAGGAGACCTGAAAGTGGCACATGGCAGAGTGTGGCGATGGAGACAGCAGCAATGGGAGGCCGTACAGGGACCCATGACACACTCTGGACCTGGCAGCAGCATGAGGAGGTGGTACAGGGGCCCATGACAGATTACGGGCCTGGCAGCAGCAATGGGAGGCCCGTAATCTGCCAGCACCCTATGACAAAATGGAACCCACCAGCAGTGTGAGGAGACCTGAAAGTGGCACATGGCAGAGTGTGGCGATGGAGACAGCAGCAATGGGAGGCCGTACAGGGACCCATGACACACTCTGGACCTGGCAGCAGCATGAGGAGGCGGTACAGGGGCCCATGACAGATTACGGGCCTGGCAGCAGCAATGGGAGGCCCGTAATCTGCCAGCACCCTATGACAAAATGGAACCCACCAGCAGTGTGAGGAGACCTGAAAGTGGCACATGGCAGAGTGTGGCGATGGAGACAGCAGCAATGGGAGGCCGTACAGGGACCCATGACACACTCTGGACCTGACAGCAGCATGAGGAGGCGGTACAGGGGCCCATGACAGATTACGGGCCTGGCAGCAGCAATGGGAGGCCCGTAATCTGCCAGCACCCTATGACAAAATGGAACCCACCAGCAGTGTGAGGAGACCTGAAAGTGGCACATGGCAGAGTGTGGCGATGGAGACAGCAGCAATGGGAGGCCGTACAGGGACCCATGACACACTCTGGACCTGGCAGCAGCATGAGGAGGCGGTACAGGGGCCCATGACAGATTACGGGCCTGGCAGCAGCATGAGGAGTCGGTACGGGGGCCCATGGCAGATTACGGGCCTGGCAGATGACGACGAGGCTGCCAAGTGCGATCAGCCTCATCATCATCAATTAGGGTCTCCGCCTCACTACTAGCCCCCTCGGCTGCGTGTGGGTCAGGAGACAGACCTGTCTCTAGACCGGCTACCGAGCCACTCTCCTCGCCAGTACTTCTTCGCCTGGCTGCTGAAAAGGCGGATGTCTCCCCCCGTTCCTGACCGCCCTCTGTTAGCTCTTCCTCACTGTACAGTGGGGCTGAGCCCACAGCATGCGATACTTCGCTTGGTGAGGGAACACCAAAGGACAGGGGCAGGTCGAGGACACGTGATTTCAGTGGGCTTGCTCCCGGGCCATGCCAACTAACGGTTGTGTCTGACGTACCCACCGACCGTTGGCTGTAGGTGTCAGAGGTGACCTGGGAAGAGGAAGACGACCGAGCCAACCAATCGATGATGGCAGGGTTGTCGGTGGAGACACGACCGCTGGATGACACCGGGAGCACTGGCCTCTGGCTGCGACTAGTGCTGCCTCGACCCCTTCCTCTGCTGCCACGTCTGCTCGCTCCTGAAACATTGCCTCCTCTGCCACTCCTCTGCGTGTTGTCTGAAATACTCTTTAATTCAACGATTCTGTGTCCCTGAGTAACGATTCTGTGTCCCTGAGTAACGATTCTGTGTCCCTGAGTAACAATTCTGTGTCTGTCCCTGAGTAACAATTCTGTGTCTTTCCCTGAGTAACAATTATGTGTCTGTCCCTGAGTAACAATTATGTGTCTGTCCCTGAGTAACAATTCTGTGTCCCTGAGTAACGATTCTGTGTCCCTGAGTAACGATTCTGTGTCCCTGAGTAACGATTCTGTGTCCCTCAGTAACCATTCTGTGTCCCTGAGTAACGATTCTGTGTCCCTGAGTAACGATTCTGTGTCCCTGAGTAACGATTCTGTGTCCCTGAGTAACAATTCTGTGTCCCTGAGTAACAATTCTGTGTCTATCCCTGAGTAACAATTCTGTGCCCCTGAGTAACAATTCTGTGTCCCTCAGTAACGATTTTGTGTCCCTCAGTAACAATTCTGTGTCCCTGAGTAACGATTCTGTGTCCCTGAGTAACGATTCTGTGTCCCTGAGTAACGATTCTGTGTCCCTGAGTAACAATTCTGTGTCCCTGAGTAACAATTCTGTGTCTGTCCCTGAGTAACAATTCTGTGTCCCTGAGTAACAATTCTGTGTCCCTCAGTAACGATTCTGTGTCCCTCAGTAACGATTCTGTGTCCCTGAGTAAAAATTCTGTGTCCCTAAGTAACAATTCTGTGTCTGTCCCTGAGTAACAATTCTGTGTCCCTGAGTAACAATTCTGTGTCCCTGAGTAACGATTCTGTGTCCCTAAGTAACGATTCTGTGGCCCTAAAGTCTCTCTGGCCCTAACTCTGTCCCTAATACAGACAGGTCTGTCTCTCTTGAATGACCGGAGGCTAATGGAGAATTGTAAGATGGCCGCAATTTATAGCTCCACCATTACACAGTGCTGGCTGGCTGGCTGCTGATTGGCTAATGCGATCACATGTCATGAATGAATGCATTATGGGTCAGCGCGCCTTGTCTGTGCGCCTTCCCAGAGATCCCCGCTCCGTCGCCACACGTCGCCGCCATTTTTGGGAAAATTCGATTCGTGCATCCGAAGTTTGCTAATTTTCGGATTCGGCGCGAATCGAATTTTTCCTGATCTTCTAAACGAATTCCACTTCGCCATGTTTGATTCGCTCATCTCTAGTCATGACAATGGGGCTTTTTTTTTTTTTAGATGAGTACAATGATTACTGCTTCCAGATATAGCCAGCAACAGTAATCCTAAGAAAAAACTCAACAGGATAGTTGTACTGAAGTTGATGGATAGATTGACTTCAGTCCAACCAGCCTGGCCATAGATGGATTGAAATTCAGCTGGTTCCTGCTGAACTGGCTGAACTTCGAACTATCTATGGCCAGCTTAAGAATTACACAGGTGATTGGTACACCCTGCGATTTCCAGTGGCAGGATTCTGTGGATTGCTGCCTCTGAAATGACAGGTGTGTAAGAATAGAACCGCAAAACAATGACAGGCTGACAGCTATTTGTGACTGTTCATGCAGTCAGTGACTACCTGTAGTGACTGTGGCTGGATGCAGGTATGTAGGCAGGTGCCAAAATGATTAATCATATTTTGTACATAAAGAGTTAATATTTCCTTATGCTGGAGTGACCCCTCAGTGGAACCTTGGTATTTGCTTTCTCTTATTTCACCTAATGGAGTCATCCTTGCCATGAACAGCTTTGAGCACCACGGCATTCAACTGACAGAGGATTTATTGTGTTCTTTATTAAGGATGTTGCACCATTATGTAATTAGCTG